GGCTTGGTATCTCTGATTTTCTGGCGTCTGTGAACCTCATAGATGTGCACCGTTTCGGTAGTAGGGGAGAGTGGGGCAATGGCGGACGGTGGGTAATGCCGGCCACCCATCTCTAGTGAGTACTTTGTCCATCACTAATCAGCTGATGTTGTTTACATTTCAGTTGAGCGCCATTCTAGCACGTGGTGCAAGTTTGTCACGGTAGCTCCATTATTTTCATTTTTATAGCGTTAAATGTGTTTTTCGTATCTGATTTTTAATTTTTGTTGCATCTATTTGCTGACTGTGAAATGTGTTAACGCATTTTCAGAAGTGCTGCTTTGCAATGACCTTCAATTAAGCCTTTCTTAGGCGACTGCTGGATGTGAGGCGTTTGCGGCGCAATGCCTTTGACTGCTGCCTGCTTTCTTAAAATAAAGCTGACCTCGGGGTAATACCGGACACGTGTCCGGAATGACTCCACGCGGTTTTGTTTGCGACTTCTGTCGTTAAAGCTCAACGTTTCGGGTGGCTGTGTTTACGGCTGTGTTAGTTTGCTTGCTGTGTTTACGGTTGTGTTAGTTTGCTGCTCTGTTGGCGCCGCGCTGTTGTGTTGCAGCGAGTGCAGTGTTGTGTTGCAGTGCATTGTACTGTTAACTGCTGAATACAGTTGTCGTTTCCTAATTCTCACTTAAATTTCCATCGAAAGAACGGTTTAAGGATGAATACCAGTGACGATATTTCGACTTTTGTGCTATTGCACTTAGTGGCCGGCATTACCCCTCGCTTTTTTGCACCTCCATTTTTCACCACATTTTCGCGTAGGCTCTGAATCTGTCATCAGTGATCTGAGATACTAAAACTGGGTGCTATCTGAAAGCCTATTCCTTTGGCTATAACAACAGTCAAAATCACCATAAAATAGCTTCAAATAGCTAAGCTATTGAGCAAAATGCTTATGGTGTCGCCATTGCCCCACTCTCCCCTATAGGTATCCTGTGATCAGGCGTTCGGCATTCGGGACTCGTGTACGATCAGATATCGACGTTTAAAATTCCAATGCTGCCACTATGCGACATACACCAACGACTAGGGATACCTGTTGAGCTGTCGCACGCAGCCTGACCTTGTCCAGCAGTCAGCGGTCTCTGAACGTGCGCTACCATCAGTCATTCACTCCAACTCACAAAGTTTGGACTATGATTGTCCGCCGCCAAACAGCCAGCCGACCTGTCCGAAAACGGCCCGGTCCAGTCAGGCGGGCAGGCGGGCTGGACCAGGCTGGGGACGGGTCGATCCTGGCTGGGGACGGGCCGCGGACTGGGGACGGGTGGCGACGTGCTGCTTGCATGATGTCTCGTGACGGCCCCAAAAACCGGTCCCTGTCCGACCTGGCGGGGCTGAGGGGTGTCGGACGGCTCATGGACCGGCTGGTTGCAGCGGGACTGGGGGCTCGGGAGACATCATTCATATGTCGCTCAATGGGTGTCGGGACTCGAACTCCAGTCAAAACTGAGCGTTGGGAGGAGCGAATAACTTCAATTCATTAGGGTCGGTTATTTGCGGTGAGTGCAGGAATGTTATTGCTGATTATCTAAGAATAAGCTGGCCGTTTCTGCGTTTCATGGTCGTTGAACATGTTATTTGATCAGAGGGAAGCATATTTTATTGACATTGTAACTACTGTAACTTGCCTAAGCCAAAGTTGTAATGCATGAACCTATGAAGAAGGAACTTTTGCCCACTCCCAAAGGGCTTAGCAGCATTGAATGGATTGTTGTTCAACAAGTTGTTACCTTAAACAGAAATGTAAATATATGCTCAAAATAATGTTTTATATAGATTCTACAACAAAGAAGAAACCGACACAAGGAAAGTGAAACTGGGAACCATCTAAACCGTCGTGGCGTGCAGCAGCGGCATCTAGATTGTTTCTGGTAGGCGCTTTTCTCTACATAGATAGCGCCCTTGCGATTTCGCCCGTTTCTTACAGCGGAAGCGGGCCACCAAATCGTCGCCACCACAAGATGTCCGGGTCTGTTTACAGTTATGGAACGGTGCGGTGGCAACGATGGCTCTGATGATGGCTGACCTGTTGTGAGCCAAACTGGCTTCTAGGGTCGGGTCTCGCTACCTTGCGTTTTCATCGCCACAATCAAAGTTAATCCCACTTGTCTGACTAGAAACGTACCGCCCGCGCTACCGGTAGTGGCCCCAAACGAGACTGGCTTCCGCTAGTTTCGAGCGAGTGGTGCAGATTACAGCGCTGGTTTCGCTTCAGGCGGCTTTTCAGGTGGCTGCGCAGCTGTTCACACAAAGCGAGTGCAAGCTCCGTTATATCCATCGCCTTTACTTGATATTAAGCTTTGGCTATACGATGACCAAGCCTAGACTTTGAGCTCCCGACTGGAACGTCCTGTTTGTACCGTTACACTTCAGCTCCATCATCATTTATCAACGCCTTACTATAACTATTTTCATACCCATCGTTACTCCTTGGAATCTCACACCTACAATTATCCTTTCCACCAGGGCGCTTCTTAAGATCCATTTACGTATCATGGTTCATATCCGTTCTCGTTAAGGATAATAAGTGGACGCTGGCAGCACTTTGGCCATGTCGGTCGGCCGAGCTGGTCGAGGGCCGGTCCGGTAGTTGCTGTATCGGCCAGCTGTGTCAGATGCCGAATTAGTGTCCAGTGCTCGCCAACATATCGGTATATGCTGTGTCAGCCTAACTCTGGGTAAGTCTTCGGGATGTGACATTTGTCCGAAATTTCGGGCGGTCGACTTTCTGGCTGTGATGGTCGTCTGGCTATGTTGTTCATGGGTGTGTCAGTCCTGATCGGTTGTCAGTCTGCTGGCTGTTCCTAAAGCGTTATTTCTCCAGCTGCACCAGGTGACAGTATTGCTGTGCTAGTAAGGCGACTGCCTGGTTAGGTGGACCAGGTGACTTTCTTGCTGAATCGGTCGGACCCTCGACCAGCCGCGATGCCGCTCGGACCCGGCCGACCGACCGCTCGAGCCCGGTGATCCGCCGCCAAGGCTGCACCGTCCGATGAACGGCAGGGAGTGGGCCCTGGGACCGGTCCGGCCATGCCGGCTGGCCGGTGGGGGCGGACAGGGGGAGGCAGGGCACACCCTGCACGACACACGGCACCGGCCCTCAGCTGGGCAACAGCACCGTGCATCCAGGCAGAATGCAGTGGCATGCTGCACTAGAGCAATGGTGCTGGATGGATGTCGTGAGTTGGATGGTTTAAAATTATTTTAAGATGATCCGAAACAAATATTTTGGCACCGATTCATCAAAACATTGGGAAGGATAAAGAAACATTAAATTTATTTTGACTTAGCTTGACCAGACCCTCGGAGCGAATGCCTATTCGATAAAAAATAGCTTTGCAAGATTCTTAGCTTCTATTTGCATGGCGCATCAGGTGGCGAACCTTATTTTATATATTTCCAGCCTTAGCTCCCCAATCACAGCTTATCTTCATCGTCCATCTATTTGGAGCCGTGTCGATCGGGGGTGGCCGCGGCTCTGGCGCCGTGCCCTCGACGGCGGCTGTTTCGTATGCAGCCGGTCGACTGCCGGTCCATGGTCGACGGGGGTCAGTACCCGCGTCCAGTCATTGCGCCATCAACACGGAATAGATCGACCAGACCATCGGCCTGGCAACCCACCGGCCGAACGCCATCAGAAATATTGTATTTAAATGGTGTCAGGCGTTTTGGGTACGTGGCTTTGGTATGTGTTGATTCCGATGTTTTATTGGTTTGTCATAATTGGGTTTCATGGTGTCCGTGACTTTGATGGCGTTGACATGGCATGACATGATGACATGGCGTTGATGCTGAACATTATTTCATTGATGAGTGTCGACAAAAGTGTCCTTTGAGGCACAAGTTTCTTAGAGGTGTTTTTGTTATTGCTCAAATTGGCCTATGAATTAATGATCCTCTGGTCCACGTTTCTCAATCAGGAAACACCTTACACTGAAACCAAACATGTTTTCGTCAAGCAGATCACAGAACACTTTTCAGCCTGTAAGTCGCTCGTCCGTCTGTATGCGGCCAGAGACCCTATTCAGGAAGTCAGTGTCGGTCAGGTCAGAGGCCATCCGACCTCCAGCCGGTGGCCCACATACACAGCCAGTCAGCGCGGCGGCGGTGACGCGGCGCGCCTTAAACGCCGCAGTCTGTGAGCCGCCGCCGCCGGGCAGTGCTGTGTGGGATGGGATGTGAGTGCTGGTGCCCGGTCTTTGGCGGAATTCGGAGCCGCCTCCGCTCCGCAGGACTTCCCTCAGTCGGCGCTGTTTTTGCGGCACTGCCACTGCTTAAGGTGCGGAGTTATTTCTTGTTCTCGACACGCGAGCCGCCTGTCCTTCTCTGTTTGGCTCAGGACATGTCGCTGGTTGTTGGCCACTGTTTGTAAGTTTTTGTTCGGACCGTCAGCGTGCCGCTGCCGTCTCAATTGAAGGATCGGCCGTGGCGTGTCTGTCGACTTCTGTGTGCTGTAACTTGTGTTTTACCAGACTCTGTGAAGGTGATATTCTCTTTCAGCGTAAAGGCTTCGACGGTAGCCACCCGTTACGGCTTATTCGCTTATTTTGCTTTAGTTATCTACGCTAAATCAAAATAAGAAGGTACACTTATTGTTTCTGCTGTTTTTATTGTGCAGTTGGATATTTTTCGTCGTGCGATTGTCGTTCAGTGTATAACTAAATGTTTGTTTTTGGTGAACCCACTTGTGTTTAGCTCTGCTCGCTGTGCAGCTGCGTCAACCCTGCCAGTTTCCTGTCTTGAATTATCGCTCTGATAACTCGTGTTTTTACCAGCTCTTTAGATACCTGCTGTTGACTCCTGTCTCACTATATGTTTTTCGAGACGTGACCTACCATGGTGCTATATTTAGAGGCCTTCCACTGATGTCTTGTCTGTGCCTTTCCAGACGCGTCTGACTGCCGTGTTGGTAAGATCAGAGGTTCTCTACTTACACCCTGTTTCTGTCTTTTCAGACGCGTCTGGCCATGGTGGTGAGGTCAGAGACGTCGGATCGGCTGGAGGGCATCCAGCTGAGTCCCGAGCCGCCGCCCTCCCCAGCCGGCTCACCGTCTGTGCCTCACGACGGCGATGGCCGTCAGCTCAAAGACGCCCTCAAGAAGGGCGGCAAACGCATCTTCCCGCTGTACGACAACTTCAGTAAGACGGTGAAGCGGCACCGAGAGAAGTCCCGGGAGCGCGAGAAGTCGCGCGACATCGTCCGACAGCGGGAGAAGTTGAGACTGCAAGAGGAGGAAAGTGCTGCTAACGTGCAGAACAGTGCTAATGGCGGCAGCGATTCGGCGACGAAACTACAGGCCGATGAAGAGGAGCGTGGCAGGGACAAGACCAAGGAGAAGCGACGCTTCTACTTGCGTGATAAGTCACGAGATAAGAAGAAAAACAAGGACAAGGCGAAGGAGAAGAACGAGAAGAGTGCGGTAGAGGAGGATGTGACTGATATTAGGCGGCAGCGTCTGACGGTGGAGACGTGCGACTCCTCCCGTCCCAGCTCTTCATACAGCTCTCGTGATGACTCGGCCATCTATGGCGCCGTCGAGATGCTGTCCGTCCCCTCGGGCGCCGCGGCCCGCGACCCGCGATCCTCCGCCGCGTCGCTGTCTCGGTCCGGCTCTGGCAGCTCCGCTCAGTCGGCAACCCAGAGGTCAGCAGCTTCTCTCCCGGCTCCAGCATCTTCCTCAGCGTCCACTGCGCCGGTGACCGCTGGCCGACCGGCTTCTGCTGTGGTTGGTTCCGCCAGTGCCACGGCAGCGCCTCGAACGCTGCCGTCTGACCCGTCGCCGCTACAGAACCGTCTGACGTGCCCTCCGGACTGGGCCGAGTACGGTGCTGTGTACGGGGCGGTGGACGGTCGCGGTGAGCTGTACGAGTCGCCTCTGGGACGGTACGGAGCAGGCAGTGCCCGGTACTTTACCCTGGAGCAGACGGAGTCCAGGCGCACACCTGAGCACGATTATGAGACGTTTGAGAACGTGCTTGGAGAGACGGCAGCCGTCGGAGCGTCAACATCGCAGGCGTCGTCAGGGCAGCCTCCACCTGTGCCACCGTCTCCTGATAAACCGCCTCCGGTTCCCCCGTCTATTGAGAAGTCGCCACAGGTCCCTCCATCAATAGAAAAGCCCCCTCCCGTTCCTCCGTCTCCAGAGAAGTCTCCTTCAGCACAGCCTTCTTCGCCCCCTCCTCTGCCGTCACCTTCCCCGTCATTACAGCCTCCCCCGAGACCGCCGGCCCCCGGCCAGTCCTCCTCCGGGTCGGTGACGTCAAGATCATCGTCACCGGGTCCGCTGCCTCCCAGATTAGTCCCTCCCGCACAGCCAGCGACCGGGAGGATATCTGCAAACCCTGTGCCTCCCAGGAAGGGTTCGCTCGGTTCGGCAACTAGTAATGAGACGACTACTGGACAGACAGCTGCAAAACAAACATCGTTCGAGAGAGCTTCCTCATTGAAAGTTATCTCAGGAAAACTGAGCTCCGGAAATGTATTTCACGAGCCAGAATCCAGTAAAGTTGGTTCTCATCAGGTAAAACGGCCGACTGCTGAACAAGTCTCTCCTCCGCCAGTGTCGCCAAACGCCGATCAGGAAACGGCGCAGAGAGCTGTCATTGATAAGGCGGCAGAGAAAATTGAGAAACCCCCGGCGACAGACAAACCGGAGCCGACGGCTGCTAAGGCCGACTCAGCGCCACCGTCTCTGACGTCACCAGCACCGCACGATTCCCCGAAGGTCCAGGAAGAGATCACGCGCCCGGACGTACCGACGGACGCGTCTCCGGCCGCCCCGCTCCCCGGTGGCTGTGACGCGCCGGACGCGGCCGCTGCGACAGACGTTGCAGCGAGCGCGAGCGCGCAGCAGTCCCCGGCACCGCCGCTGCCAAATCAGCCCCAGACGGTCAACACTGCGCAGGCCGATAGGATTGATACGCCGCCCAGTGCAAAGCGCTCAGAGACGCCAGTGTCAGTCAGTGCCACGCGTCACTCGAGCGGGGAGACAGCGTCAGCGAGCGACTCCAGCGATAAGGTGAAAACCTCACGGAGGTTTCTGTCGTTCCCGTCTCGCGGTAGTGGCAAAGCGACCACGAAGCGCTCGTTCCTGAGCAGCCTGCTTCGGCCGGATGGCGCTTCTCCGGAACCAGTGTTGGACGGGCGGTCGTCGCCGAGTGACGTGAACAAGACTAAATCGCTCCCGGCAAAGTACAGAGAGTTTTTCCGAGACAGAAAGTCGGCCCGTGCCGAGAGAACGGAAAGTGCCAGTCCTGTGCCGAGTGATAAGAACCTCATTGGAAAGCGAGTTTCGAGTGCTACGAGTGTTACCAGTGCCGCGAGTGACGCGAGCGCCAATAGTGCTGCTAAGGACGCCGCCCGAGAGGCCAAGCGCGCTGACGGAGAAGTGGTAGAGATCGAGTTACCAGGCGTGTTTGGCAGAAATCAAATGCGCGCCAGCCTGCGCATCACGCTCAAAGGGAAGGGAGCAGAGCGTGGCGCCGGTAGCGCGGATGGTAAAGAGAATCGCGGCAGTGCGGGGATGGCGGCGGGCGAAGAAGGTGCGATGGTGGCTAGTCGAGCCCTCCAGGAACTGGTCCGCTCCCGCGCCAGTCAGGGAAAACCGCTGACCAAGCGGGATGAGCAGCGGCTGTCCGTTGCCATTGCACCAGAGACTGTGTCTGCGCTGACAAGCAAATTCAACGCACTCATCCAGGCATCCACTTCAGCCGAGAACTCTCCGTCGCCGACCGGCGCCAAGACGTTCAACTTGGGCTCCATCACAGTCGATAAGGCGGGCAACGTCGCCAAGCCGAAAGCTGCCTCCTTCCGGAGGTCGGATGCAGCGAGGTTGTCAGCAAGGCGCCGAGTGGCTGCGAGACACGCAGCGGCACAGGCGCAGCAGCCAGAGTCAACCCTCGTCAGTCGAGCGTCCGCAGCTCTCAGCCGACGAGCAACGTCCCCCTCCCCCAGTCGAGTGTCGGGAGCACACTCCGGCCCCTCCTCGTTCCGCCAAACCAAGCCGGCGGCTGTCGAAGGGGAAAAGACTTCTACAGATGCCAATAACGAAGGCAAAGGCGCTGGCAAGACTGCCACCAAAGTCTCTGCGGTCAAGACTACGGCGAAGGCCGTCGTCAAACCTACCGGAAAGCCAGTGGTCAAGGCGGCTTCTTTCCGAAAGACAAAACCTGGTGGCGGCTTCTGTCGGGACGCGACGCGGCTCTCGGGCCGACGAAGAGTGGCTGATGTCAGCGGTAGGCAGCTGGGATGGACATCTGCTGTCAGAGCTGAACAGAAGAAGAACGCTCCCGTCAAAACAGAGGTTATCGCTGAAGACAAGCCCGCTGCTAGAGGCAGCACGGGGCTGTCAAAGAAATCTGAGACCGCTTCTGTGCAAAGCCTTGCAAAGAAGGAAAAGTTTACTCAAGGGAAGACAGCTGATGCTCCCCCTAAAAGAGAGACGGCTGCTGTTTCTGATTTAGTTCCTAAGAACAACAATGAGGAGATAACGTTGCGTCGACGAACTAACACGCTGGGCTCAGTCGACAAGAAACATAACTCCCTAACATCAAGCAGAACGTATGCATCTCCCACGAAACGCTCTGAAACGGTTTCTGTCAACAAAGAGAGTAGTACTCAAAAGAAGTCGGACGTGTCCGTCGGTCACAAGACACAAGACACGTCAAATGAACCAAAGAAGGTTGACTCAAGCGACCAGAAGAAGACACTTTGTACGACAGACCAGAAGAAGCCGGCAACCAAGAAGCCAGTTCGAGAAAAGACCGACGTGACGAAGATTTTCGACAGAGAATTGCGCAAGATCACCAACACTGGAACAGTTGCGAAGGCCAGTGAGCTGTGGCTGAAGATGGCCCAGTCAAACAGCAGCACTACACCGGGACGCAACACGAAGCTCACCAGCTCCGATAGGGTGCACGGTAGTGCGGCGTCCGTGTCGAAACTCAGGAGCCAACTGTCCTTCGGTGAGAAAACAGACCTGACCACTCGGGACAAAGCGGACACTTTGAGGAGCTCAGTGCCTGACGGCCGAGTTGCGACCGATATCAGCGTTTTGCGACGCTCCTTGACACTTGGCAAGACTGAGAAGATAGAGGCTTCCCAACTGCCAGAAAAGGAAGCCGTTAAAGCTGCGTCCTTGGCTGATGAGAAAGGAGGAAAAAGGGAAAGTAACTCTGCTGCGAGGGAGCTGACTGAGAGCAAGAAACGTGAGAAAGAAATGTCCAAAGACACAAAGAATGAAAAAGAACCAACGAAGGAACAGCCAACAACCAAACTGTCTGATTCGCCCAAACAACATGGAAAGAATGCTAAAGAAGATAAAACAAAGGCCAATGTGAAAGACAGTGATAAAGAAACATCAAGTGACAAAGCTTCATTTGTTCCCAAGCAGCCTGCCGACAAAGTAAGCAAGCTAATGAGCTCACTCACCAAGTCGTCGCCGTCCGTAAAGACCAAGGATGAGCCGAAAATCAGCATGGCGGTGGATAATAACCTCTACGGCACTGCATATGTGACCAGCTGTCAGTCGAAGCGCAGTTTTGACAACAAGCTCTACGGCGAGACCTTTACCCCAATTCAGACCAGCATCCACAAGTACGTCACGGTCGCCACTCAGGGTCAGAAACTGTCGCAGACGGCAGCTGCTGCCCAGAAGGCCGGTCATCCCCCAGTCGGAAAGAGTCTCTCACTGAGATCCCTCCCGGGGAACCGTCTGGAAGGTCGCGTCAAGGATGTCATCCATCGATTTGAGGCTCCTGCGACATCAACGAGCGCTCATTCGGCTCTGTCGCAGAGGGAGGCGGCGCTGAAGTCTGCCACGCTGCCGTCGCGGATGCCAACCGTCCTGCTGCCGCTGGGTCGCGGGACGACGTCCCGCCTCAGCTGCATGCCGGCCTTCTACGAGTCCATCTGGGAGGGCCAGCGCGAGTACAAGCCCAACGAATCGTTCCTGTGGCACGGCAGCTCGCAGCTCACTTCCTGCGGCGAGTCCGGCTCGGCCGGCTCCAGCTTCAGCGACCGAGACACCGCGTCGACTCTCAGCGACGCCAGCTCCCTGGCCGAGGAGGAGGCTGCCGCGCGCGCCCGAAGCTCCCTCCTGCGCCGGCTGGCCGCCCGCGGTCCGCCCGCTGCCGCCCCCGCCCCCGCCCCGGCCATGGCGGCGGCTGACTACGAGCCGGGCGGCTCCAGCAGCTCAGGCACTGTCACCTACGAGAATGGCTCCGACCCGGGATACGAGCGCATCAGTGGCGAGAGTTGCGCTGGCTACGAACAGATCGGTTCGCGGTATGAACGTGTGGGCGGTGCGCCGCCGAGTGAGACCACATCAGCCGGGTATGAAACGCTCGCGCCTCCATCCGAAACCTCCACACTGTGTTACGATGACTGTGTAGTGCCGGCGCGACTGGCTGTGGTGAGTGAACACCAGAAGGAGAGTCTCAACTACCTGGAGACGGGTTACGAGGACATCAGCGGCGGCTGGCTGGGACGCGCTCTGGCCGAGGGCGCCGCCGGCAAACCGACGCCGCTGCAGCCGTTCGACGAAGAGGCAGAGGAAACCGGTGAGTACTCGAGACATTGTCAAAACGAATTGTCGTTTTACTCGGCCAATTATTTAACAGCCTTCTGGCATTTCACCGTATATTTTGTATTTCTTATCATTGTTTACAGATGATACGTAAGTCATTGAATAACTGGCACAAAACATGACACTCCATAAACTCCATTAGATATTTCGGGGGAGCATTCATTCTGGCCAGGGTTCATAATGTCCAGGGTACGCTATGCCCAGTGTCAAAATGGCCAGTGCCTTGAATGGGCCAGAGTTCATAATGTCCAGGGATTGCATGGTCCAAATGTGGCCAACTGGCTGCAGATAGGGTATATTCAAAGAGGCCAGGGTTCATAATGTCCAGGGCACGATGTGTCCAGTGTTCAAAATGGCCAGGGTTCATAATGTCCAGGGCACGATGTGTCCAGTATTCGAAATGGCCAGGGTTCATAATGTCCAGGGCACGATGTGTCCAGTGTTCAAAATGGCCAGTGCCTTGAATGGGCCAGAGTTCATAATCTCCAGGGATTACATAGTCACTGAAAGTGACGTCATTATGTAAAAAAAAAAACACGGAATCGGCTCAATGCAAAGCAGTGCAGTGCCGAAGGCAATGCCTTAGGAGAGATTACAGGCAATAGTAAATCAAATATTTTTAGGTTAAGTGGTTATGCATCAGGCTTCAGGCCGTGACGTCATTATGTAAAAAAAAAAACACGGAATCGGCTCAATGCAAAGCAGTGCAGTGCCGAAGGCAATGCCTTAGGAGAGATTACAGGCAATAGTAAATCAAATATTTTTAGGTTAAGTGGTTATGTATCTGGCTTCAGGCCGAAGGCCTGAAGCCTGATGCATAACCACTTAACCTAAAAATATTTGATTTACTATTGCTTGCAATCTATTCATGCGAGAAACTATTTCCTTATCCCTGGTAGGCAAACATCATTCCCTTAGGTTAGGTTAGGTTAGGTTAGGTTAGGTTAGGTTAGGTTAGGTTAGGTTAGGTTAGGTTAGGTTAGGTTAGGTTAGGTTAGGTTAGGTTAGGTTAGGTTAGGTTAGGTTAGGTTAGGTTTGGTTGGGTTGGGTTGACTATGTAATCCCTGGACACTATGAACTCTGGCCCATTCAAGGCACTGGCCATTTTGAACACTGGACACATCGTGCCCTGGACATTATGAACCCTGGCCATTTCGAACACTGGACACATCGTGCCCTGGACATTATGAACCCTGGCCATTTTGAACACTGGACACATCGTGCCCTGGATATTATGAACCCTGGCCTCTTTGAATTTACCCTATCTGCAGCCAGTTGGCCACTTTTGGACCATGTAATCCCTGGACAATGTGAACACTGGCCAATTCAAGGCACTGGCCAATTCGAGCACTGGACACATTGTGCCCTGGACATTATGAACCCTGGCCTAAATAATACGCACCCGATATTTCGTCACACCGCGGAAGCTGGCTCACTCCAGACCCTTCAATTCACTCAATGAATTAAAGTAATATCCTTGAACTCGCCAGTGCTAAGTGCGTTCCAGTGGTTTCCAAACGGCTAACGGATTCGCCATCAAAATACCAAGGCTGATGAGAGTGCTGATCGGTCATGTCTCGGGATTGCCATGCGGTGCGGCGTCTGCAGATTTACAAGTCAAAGTCATGTGCTGGTACCCTAAGCCTCTTTATGAGAAACAAGTATGGTGCGCTTAGTATCCCGGATCTATTCAAAGCCTCACGCGCAGCGACCAGCGTAGCCTTGCTCTCATTTTCACCAGTTAGTTCGGCGCTGGACCATTTCCCAATTTAACGTCTTTCGTGGTGTATTACCTTTTCAAAAAGTAAGGTCAAAGCCAAATTTTTACTAGATAGACACCATAAATGTTATTGACATAAATCATTCAAGTCTAGCGATTTCATTCAAAATATTTGGTTCCAAATAATATTACAAATGTATCCACTAATAAGTGCTGATTTGTGACGCTTATTCCGATACTGGTAATTTCACTGACATTACCGCCGCAACAGATTTTTTAGGGGGCTATGCTTTAAAAAAATATCAATGGAAGTACGGAAAATCGAACTTTGCACCCGTCCATCGCGGCGCTATCCAAAACATCCCGTCTCGTTTCCTGTGTTCACCACCGTGTCACAAGACCAGCATCCGTCCGGAACCATGCTGACTGGACGGGTCCTTTGAGGGTACCCCCACAAACCACTGGTCCCATTGATGCCAGTTTTCTCTCACCTAGGTGCCTCAAAGTTGAACTATCTCAGAGGTCACAGTATCCCTATCGCTACTTCCTGAGCCCTATAAACCGATCGCGCTATCAGAGAAACCCTTGCACTGACAGTTGGGGGCCCTTTGAGCAGTGATCTCATCCCTCTGCACATACAGTTTATCGCCGCAGGCGGCTTGAGTTCGTCGTTCGTGTCAGGAAAGTGTCACTATCGCACTGAGTTCGGCTCTACTCAAGGCCACAGCTGCAGGATAGCGTCCTGGGACGGTGATGATGTATTAGAGGCAGCGAGGGTGATCTCAGTTTTATGATCGGCCTGACCGAATGATGGTCCGATGTAAACGGTGCATCCGCCGACGGATTACATTATAGGCGTGGTGATAAACACGGGTCAAATGGTTTAGCGAAGTGGTAAACATGATAATTTGAGTGAGAATGATTCATATTATCTATATTAAATTCATCATTTGACATTACATATTTGTCAACTTATGTATCTGTACGTCGTGCATCAGTTTGTGGCTGATGATCATTTTTAGACGTTTGCGCTCTGTCCCGCACCCTTCCATCACTCTTCTGTCTGTCCAGCATTGACTGTTCGCTCTCCTGTCTCCTTTGTGACGGAACTGCAAGGGCGATGGAGGCGGGGATGGTTGAAATCGATAACACTGCCCTTTTATTTCGCAACATCTTGTTGGTATTTCAGAATCTTTGTATCTTTGTCTCACCCTTTCTTTCAGAATCTTTGTAGAGAGACCACATCGAAGTGTCTCCTCGCTCAAAATTGTTCCCTCGCCTTTGTCGAATTCTCCCAACCATATCGCTCGTACCCTTTACGGTGTAGGTCTGTCCCCGTCGCCAGACTTAGCGGTATGACCCTTGGGTTACGTATTTGCTATAGGTAACGATAGGAATGGGACTGCACATGTCACTCAGGCAAATCCCCTCAACCTCGTCTTCATAGCTCGTGTTTTATTGGCATTGCTCAGTTGCTAACCACACATGCAGCGGATAAGGGTGTGCACTGTCAAGTGTGTGGCATGATTCACTAGTGCCTGTATTATTACTGTGTGACTGTATATTTTACCGTTACAAGTTACTGGTTTCTGATTTGTATTTGTATGCATGCTAAGTTTTATATGACAGTTAATGATACTTTTTCAATTTAAGTCGCCAGATTTGAGATGGTCTTAAGAATAGGTATAGGCATAGGTATGAATTTGAATATGTTAAAAAGCTCTCTCTTAGTATGGATAAGAGATACAGAATCTTAAAATATATGTCTTAAATGGCTTGTATACCTAGATTGGGCAAATATTATTTTCCTCAACCAGCCTGCAGACGGCAGGCGCTGTACCTTGATCTCTCATCACGTCATCACTGTCTGGTCTGTTCACCCTTTCTGCGACCTTCAAAATCCCTTTCCAGAACCGCTGCCGCTAAATGCCGGCCGCATTACGTATTTGTCAACACCGGAGGTATTTCCGAGTGTTCTTAATCGCACGGGCACGGCGCCGACGGTCGCATTCCGCCTTCTAACATGCAATATATCGGCGAGCTGAACCTGTGTATAGTTTACACGTTTCAACATTTCACGAGACCCGTGTGCCAAGAAAGAAGATATCCGTGCGCGCAGCGGCGCAAATATTTTCCAGTCCAGCAGCCCACTGTCATGCTCTCAATCAACCACTTCTCCCCAGTCATGTAATAAACCTTCGTGCCGTTCTCACCATGCTGCTCCCTTTCCTTGACCAGCAACGCCCTGAGCATGCCAGGTTATGACGTCATGAATGACGTCACGTCTCGCACAGCGCTCGGTCACTGTTTGAGGTGTGGTCCATGCACGGTCGTGGACCATCGGTGACCTATCTCGTCACACACTGGCCTGGCTAAGAGAAGGGTGTTTGGACAGTTATTGATATCTCATGAACTGGGCATCACGATTGTAGCATATTGTCAGAGTGGCACCTTCGTAATGTATCGGCACATGTTTGTAAACATTGGTAGACAATAGACACGCTGGAGTACATGGAACGTACGAACTCGTATCAGTTGCTACCAACTTGTCCAGGAGTGATCGGAAAGACGCCAGCCCTGTCCGGCATCGTCAAAACAACACGGTAGGGTATTATCGGAATACGTTCCATAGGTCAGTGACACTGTGTCACACCTGTCTGGAGATAAAGGTGTCTGATTCCCACAAGGGTAGAGCTGAATGTGAGAGAGTCGGTGACCTCAGCTGTTTTTATTTGTCGGGATTTGTTAAAATAATGTAAGAGCCAGGGAAAAACTGCACGGCCATGCATGGATGAAAGCCCATCGTTGCACATGCTCTGAAGCCAGGGACACTAAACGGTCTCGAGGTCGATATTGATAGAGCATAATAAAAATATACCGAGTCTGCAAGACAGAAGAATTGGCTACCTAAGTAGCCTGTATGTCATGTTAGTGCCTAATGATAACGAGGTTAAAAACTTTTCCTGTTGGTCGTACTATTGATAGTTGTGCTAATGGGCTCAAGGAGTTGATTATTGTGACTGTTAGTGTTCAACCCAAGACTTCAGATATGTTTCGTAGAATAATGAATACATAACGTGTAAAATAGGCATGTTTAAGGCTCTTCCAGACATGGGACAATGAACCTACTGTCATTTATACCATTTCATTTTATATTACGCCTCATCCAGAGCCTTGCCGTTTCTCCGCGGTTAGTTGACAACCATTCGCTATCGTACCGTCAATGATACCTCAGTTACCTACCGGTCGCCACTTCGGTTGACGCTCCCCACTTTGGTGGCATTTCCGGCTGCGATGGGGCGTCACTTACCGGTGATGTCTTCCAGAAGTCCAAACCTCTGAGTCAGCTAAGGATGAGCAGGGTAAAACCGAATTATCGCTAACCGGGGAACGATGTTTTGCCAGTAGGGACTGCAAGGGATATCACAGCTAGCGGAGTGACGTGATTTCATTCAAGCCGGGCTGACATCAGACACAACTTCATTCATTGTGTAGTTGTGACTTTATTTGGTTACTCATATGCTGTTTTGTTTTAGTAAAGCTCCTAGGTAATGCAATCTATTAAATTGAGCTCGCTGTTGTATCAATAAATGACTATTGTATAATACGATCAATTTTGTTTATTTGTAATAATTCTTTCTCAATCAATAGGAGATACCAATGCAGACAGGAGGCATATACATAGGGTGAGCCTATATACTCTCAAAGTCCTCTACAGGCGATACTCTCGCCAGCTGAATGACTTAACCTGATATGCACCGTTCGCGTCTACATTGACGTGGACAAGGCGTTTCACTTTCATTAAAAACGAATGTAGGTATCCAAGCGCCTACCTATCTATACCAGGTACAGTCCCTTCCCGCATGAAAATGCGAATGACCTGTGTTGAATAAATGAATGTGATGAGCAGCCTGCAACATCCATGGTTCACGGTCAATGAATGCATTCAAAATAATTCAATCTTTCATGAAGATTTATTTGAAGCTCAAACGGCAAATGAATTCCGCATGAAGGTTCTGTGAATCATGAAGTGTTTGAAGGTAAAAATCATCCCTTCCCTGTGTGAGAAAATCATATGCTTACATATTGCGGTACAACATGGCATATTTTAGCGCTATGTATACATGACTGTGTAGAATGATATGGATAAATTGCGGTAAAAAAAATGGTGCTTTAGAATTGAGCATTCTGACAAAGCGACACCCAGCTCTGCCAGTCGTGGCAGGTCTTCTCTTATGTGTACTACTTCCCATGTCGCTATTCTAACTGAGCTGATATTTTTTTTAGCTGGCTCAGAGGTAGGGAATACCGCCGTTGACCGAAGGTCGGGGATATAAAAAAGTCAATCACCGGTGAATCAATACACATTTCTTATGCAAATTCTACTCCATTATAGCTAGCATGAAGCTTGCAAGCTTCCGTTTTATGCCACGACAACAAAAACATATTCACGATAGCAAAATAGCATGGGCAAGCTGATGGCACAGATCTACATTCTACAACATTGCCGAGACGGGTGGCATAGCCGGTGCACACAAAGCTTGTATTATTGTCCATAGATGGCGCCAGCAGTAGTCGCCTGAAGTTTGTTTGTTGATTGGGGCTTTAGGGCGCGCCGACTGCTAAGGTCATTTTGCGCCCATAACGTCGTACTAATAAAACAAGTGTGCCACAAGAAAGAACCTTCTAGATACTAAGACTAAAAAGTAAGACTCGATATAAAATAGCAAGGTAAGATAAAACAGCGCAAAGGTGTCGTCCTAGACAACTGACTAGATGAAAGGACTAGAGAGGGCTAGTTGGATTGGGGTCAGGTCGAGTATATCACTTGGAAGTTGATCGAACGGATAAAAGAAAAGATGTTGCCGGATAAAACCCAGGGTGACTCGTCACCCAGTAAGCGGCGGATAGTGGTACCCGGAGCGATGCGCCCGAGGTAGCGTGTCCGGTTCGGTTCAGCGAGAGGACAAGATAAAAGCACGTGAGAGACAGTGAGAGGCACGGTACACCTGCGACAGGTGGGCTGCTCTTCTCCGCGGAGGAGATGACCATGCGTGGCATACGTATGGCCGATGCGCAGCCTACATAAGACGACTTCGTTATGTCTGTTACTTTGCATGGATGACGACCAAGGCTCGAGAGTTGGCTTGATATCTCTCAGCTTACTGCTCGCGCGCGAGTCCCACTCTGCCTGCCACTGCGAGAGCATGGAAGATCGTACGACGGGATAGTAATCCCGGGCAGGCAGAGGAAATCGCCGAGTGTAGGGCGCTGCGGCAGCGCGTCTCGCGGCGGCGTCAGCAAGCTCGTTGCCTTGGATTCCAACATGACTGGGAATCCAGCAAAACCGGATAGTTTTTCCGGACTGTTCCACCGAAGTTAGCCGAGTTAAAATGTCCTGAATGATCGGGTCGTCAGGATTAAACCGTCGTAAAGCCAACAGACTGCTTAGTGAGTCTGATAAAATCAAATAGAAAAAACCGTCGGACACCTCAATAAAACACAGAGCCTTTTCGATGGCGACTAGCTCTGAGGAAAACACCGAGGCGCTGGGTGGAAGGGAAAACGAGCGGGTGTCCCGACCAGCGACAAAAGAGCAACCCGCTCCATAGACCCGGGAACAGGGGGGGCAGCGGGGGCGCTTGCCCCCCCAACTTGAGAGCCGAGGGGGCGGCGCCCCCTCAACATTGAGGCAGCGAGAAAAGATCTTTCCTCCCTTTTCCGGACTTTTTTCCTTCTTGTTTCCTTTATACATCTACGCATCAACACATGGCATTTTCCTTGTCATCTGAATGGTTTCTGCTGATACAGTAGGCATCGATTTGACAACATCTGCTATTGACTATTGTCATCCCGCTTTGATTTGGGCCTGATCGTGGCCATAAGTTTGGCAGGCCAGATTTTATACTGCACCAGCTTGAGTCAACTTTGAGAAATACATAACGTACAAGGTGGTAAAATCGTTGCTATAACACAGTTTACCCGCTCCGGATGTGATGGAGGGGTGTGGGGCAATGAGTGCACTGACGTGGCGCCCTCGGAGGGCCGGTATGGGATTAAAGCTCAGCGACACTAAGGGCTTGTGTGGTGCCTTCGGTTATCGGTAGCACCCTCAGAATCACCGGCGTAGGGCCCTCAGAGCCGCCGGTAAGGGGCCTTTAGAGGCACTGGTGTGGGGCCGCCATGCAGGTGCCGGTGTGGACGCTCAGAGGTGCTAGTGTGATTCAGAGGCGCCGATGAGGGTCCTTACAGGCGTTGCTGTGGATCCTCATAGACGCTGGTGTGGGGCCGTTACAGACGGGTGTGGGGCCTTTAGTGCTGCTGACGCGAACTCTCTACAAGCCGGCAGGGAGTCTCAGTGACCGGCAAGGGGACCGTACGCCGGCAGAAGTCCTGTGGGGTCCTTAAAGACCGGCCCTCATAGGCGCCGACGAGGGCCCCACAGTTGCCGTTATGGGGCCCTCAGAAAATTAAGTGTGGGACCATCACCGGCGGGAAATGCCCCTAGAACTGGCACCTCATAGGCCGGTAAGACCTCTCAGAGGCCAGTAACGGGCCTTTGGAGATCACCGAGGTGTCCTTAAAAGCCGCAAGATGCCCTCAGACGCCGGCGTCGGACCCTTATGGAGATCTTAGTGTGGCTATTTAGGGCCCATGAGGTGCTCTGACGAGCCCCATGGGGCCCTTCTGAGTAGAAATATGGCCATCGTTAACCCACAGCGGTCAAATGGCGCCGCAGGGCCCCTCGGACCCGAGGGTCCCCTTTATCCCGATGGTTTAGTGTCCCCTTAGACCCCTAGCTACGCCACTGTTTCATATGCATCATGTCAGGTATTTTAGGCTCGCCCCCCCAACTTGAAAATCGTTCCCGGGCCCCTGACCCGCTCCCTCGGATGTTTTTGAGCCGTCTGTGTAGACTGAAATAAAACCATCATACGAGGCTATATGCTCCAAGGCTCTGGTTTGTGCTTCATAGGACAGCAAGCTATCCTTTTTTACTTCGGAAAGCGAGAGGTCTACCTGCGGCGGGGCGTTTCTCCAGGGTGGAGAAGGCGTTCCCCAGATACGCCGAACGCCGCGCAAGGCTATATTCGATGTAGAGAATAAACCTCTCATGCGTGCTCCGAATGGATGACTCGTCCCATTACCAGATGAAGCAATGTGACGCGAAAAGACGTACGGGTACGTCGGATGCGTCGGGAATTGACGTAGTTTAAGAGCATAACGCATCCCCAGCGTCTGACGGCGGAGAGAAAGATGCTGCACCGCAATACCGCTGATTGATAACGATGATAGCGGTTGCATCAAAGGCAGCTGATAAGACACTCGTTTATAAGTGGGACCGTTAGAATATCAAGTTCGTGCTGAATCACAAAATACAGATACGTGCAAGTAGTTTTTTTCAGAAGCAAATAAGTAACCTGGCATTTACGAAATGCTTTTGATGCTGACTTACCTAATTCCCGAAGAACGGGTAGTCATTCTCTAAAGTGTCATTCCTGGCTATGCCACGGACGGAGTGATTACTTAAATCCACATTATTTGTAGAGAGATATCTGAACAGTTTCATTCGTTGTCTTTTTACGAATCGCGACACTAATTGAAAATATGTTACACATCATAGCATCTGAAGGTCCGGCGTAGAGCAAATTCAATCCAGTCTCACGAAGTTATTCAACCCTTTTTGTTGAGGCATCATTTAGAAAAGAACCTTGCTCTTTGACTGCATTGAATGGACCTGTTCCTAACATGCGAATCTGCATATGCATTCAGAGTCGTTTCTTTTTTTCCAGACGACGAGGACGATGGACCGCAGACGGTCAACAGCTACCAGCTGACCGACTTCGGGGTGGACCAGGTGGCAGCACCGGCGCCCCAGCAGATGTCGCTGCCGTCCACCCCTCGGGACCGGATGCCATCGGACCGTGACACAGGTGGCGAGTGGACCGACATCGACGCCGACGGGGAACAGGAGGCCAGTGACGACACTGAGGCCAGTGCCGACTCACCCATGGTCGTCACTCGGCCGCACTTTGTGTGAGTAGTGCGGGAAACGGGGGGTAAAGGACGGGAATAATTAGTGTCTCCTGACAGGCAGAGGTGATGGCAGACAATGCTTTAATATTTTGGTTTATTAATTTATATCTACACTTTTTGAAGGCTTGTGTCACTCTCCCTTGCCCATTCCGGTTACCTCATACCTGGTGCCTCTTTGACATTTCTCTATAAATAGAATTATACCTTGATTGTCCAGTTCGAATCAGTATTCAAACTTGACCACTTGAATTCGCGATGCAGCTGTCTTCCTTGGAACGGCATATTTGTGTTCATCGTCTATCTTCCATGGGTTCTGCAGACGGAGGAGCAAATAGATGACGATATGCGCGCTTATGTCACCATGCATATGTTCAATGCAAATAGGCAAACGATATATCGTCCCAAACAATAAACAGCCATTCGAGTGATGACACTACTCCCTCATTTACACTTGATGTCATGAGTTAGGCACAGTCAAAGAAAACCCTCGTTTTATGACAGTACAGTTCCACGAGTACAGCTATCAACAGGCAGCTAAAAATAGCGGTGACGATATTCGTTGTTCACGACAGTACCCTTCGGCCCTGAAGGAGCTTCCCAAGATTGTTGTCGCGATCCATACAATTCTCGAGCACGCCCAGCTCATGTCTTCTCACTTCTCTCATAGATGGCAGCACGTACCTCCCACATAGCTCGGTCCTCAGAGTCGAGGTCAGCTATGTTGTGCTCCGCTCTGCCCTCTACCGGCCGGATTTGGTACTAGTCAGGCTTCTGTGATGGAGGCGTCTCCTCTTCCCTCTGGCCTCTGCCCTCTCCCCATCCCCATCCCTCTAACGCTGTGCAAGCGAGACTGGCCATGTCTAGTCCCTGGAATCGTAGATCGCCAGCCGAAGCCGTACCATTCACTAACACGAATTGGAACGGTGTTTATTGACACACTGAGGCTTGAGACAACCGTTTGCACTTCGTCTTGGCACCAGCTCAGGCCACAGGTGCATAGTAAGGTCCTACAGGTGTGCTCCTCCTTTCTTTTAGTATGGTAGGGGTCTCAGAAGCATTGTAGATGTCTACGGCGATAGAATTCTTACGTGGTTCTGGGGATACCCGTGATCAAGCAAACGAGGATATAGAGCTCTTCATTCATAGGATCGTAATTGTTATGCTAACTATCGTATTTCAGCAGCTCAATCACATCAAAGCCTCTTACCATTCATGTTTCTCCCATCTATAGACGGGCGACTGGTGACAACCCCATCGTCCCCCGCTGACGAATGCTATCCAGGGACGCATGACTGCGCCCGTGTCTCATCTGATGGAGACGTATGATCGTTTGGATGGACTCATAAACACCTCCATTCAAACCGCTATATCAGCAGACAACTAATGACCCATGAAACGACGCAGTAGCTCTCCGAATGGTCCTTATGAATGGTGTTGACGCGTTGTGATGTATATTTACTTGCCTTGGTTTGCTCGCAGTCGTGTTCGTAGCCGAAGGAGTCGCCGATTCTCCAAGACTCGCGCCGGACGACGGTCGTGGTCCCAGTCGTCGAAGCAGGATCCTCGGCCGAAGGAGGGACCCTGGAGACATACGACGATGAACGCCAATGGTGAGTACCGATTTACGTGGTGGTTGTACCGCTGTGCTGTACTGTTTACCACTGGCCCGCAGTACGGAGCTGGTGTGGCCGACTACCGTTTAGTACTGTGACTGTGATGTGGTGTGAAGTGACTGGATAACTCTGTGTGGTGCAATGAGCTGTACGAAGATGTATGGTTGTACGGCTACGAAGCTGTACGGCTGTATGGTACGGAGCTGCATGTGGTACAATTGTCCCTCCCATTGGTACTGCTATGCCAAGGAATGGTATCGGTGTACCGCTGCACGGTACCTCGGTACCTCTGTGACGTACCCCTGACCTGTGCGGTCTCGGTACGGCTGTGGTGTACTCGTCTCTTCTCCGGCTCAATGCGGAGCTGGAGATGGCAGAAACGTTGGTTTTGCCGGACGATGGAAGATTTGGAAGCGTTTACGGCATTCTTGGGAAAGCGTTGACAGGTAGGTTCTTTCAGGCTTTTCAGGAACGATTTATCGCCAAATAATAACACCTCTCTCACCATTGCATCCCATCTTCCTTATTATGATAGGAAATGGGAATGGTAAAAACCTGAATCATTCTAAGTGCTTCGAATGATTCAGTTTTTTTTTTTTCAATGTTCATTGACTGTATAGCATCGCTACCTCTCCACAACCTCTGCATTCACACCATCTTCCTGCACAGTATCGCTTATCCGTCTCACGACGATCTCACGGCTCTGATCCAGATGTCCGCTGCGTGTCCGTGGAACGGGGCCGGGCCGTGACACCCGGGGAGTGTCCCGCGTGACGGCGAGATCACCATCGTGACACGGAGTAACGACCAGGAACACGGAGGGCATGATGTTTTGTGGAAAGCAGCCGTGGGATGGTTGCGAACTGGCGACTGGCCAGTTAGTATCTCCGTGATTTTCGGCATCAGACTTTGTCTGTCGTTTTAAAGTGTCTTACATAGGCTTAAAACCTACATTATTTATACTAGGCGTTTATTATGCATATTCTAGTTGTATGCAAGATAATACGATCACATTTTTCTATTACCACGCTAAAGTATTTTATCTCATACAGTGACATTGTAAAAAATAATCCCTGCGTCTCCACCCACATATTTTCACGGCATTGCTTATACATTTTAATGCGACGTTCCTCTGCGACTTCTGGTTTTCATGCCGCATCTCACGGCTAGCGATCTCATATTTCACTTCTCTCATGCCTCACATTCCGGTCATGTGAACTGATCGCACCGTAGGCCAAGACAAATGTCTGGAGCGAAAGTCGATCTCATAGCTCTCGTACCTTTCCTCTCCAACACTGACCTCGTGGGACCGTAATGAAAGATCAACACGTCACTGTTCCCGGTTGTGGTTTCGGCATTCGTCTGACCCTGGTCAACTTGACCTGACCTGACCTGGTAGTTGACCCGAGACCACCGCCACGGGGTGTAGCGGAATGATCTCTGCCTGATACAGAGAAGCGCCGACCTCCTCTGAAAGTGAAAACTCCCGCAGTGCGCACAAACAACTTTCCACGGCTTCGGTCGCGTCCCGGATGTCCCGCAGAGCGACGGTGACGGGCGTGCGTGTCATGACTTAACTGTCACCTTCACTCTCATCTCTGATGACGCCTCTAGGGTCCCTGGCGTCATCGTCCCTGGCGTCATCGCACCGGCGTGGTCATCCCGTCTGGACGGCCGAACGGTGCTGGCGCCACTGAACTGCGTCGCAGCCGTCGCAGTGCGTCGCTATCGCACTGGCACGTAAACACTCGGCTGATTGCGTCTAGTGGTGGTCTACCCCTGAGGTCCCCTTGGGGACCTCTAAGGAGGTTGGGTTTCATTGGTACGACAGCTTGTTACACCTCGTAAAAGATATACGTTTCCCATGGGATGTACATATTTAAATTTGGTGGATCGGTGGAAGCGACGTGCCGTCTCTATGACAGATTGACTCGTCTTGGGAAGTACTCATTAACCCGCGCCCGGCTGTGGGTCCTGGATTTCCACGCCCTGCTGGGGGTGTTTGAACACCCCCCCCCCCCTTGTAACTCGGCTCCTGGGCCACGTAGCGATACGCGGAAGGCGGCGTTCGAAAGAGCGTAAAAAATAATGAGGAAATCACTTCGGTCAATTTTTTGGTCAGGTCAAAGGTCAGGTCACCAGAGGTCATTGAAGGCAAAATTTCGCCGATTTCCAGGTCGAATGTCGACAATTTCCAAGAAGCCAACGCATAACTCGGGAACCAATAGAGCTACAGCGCCGCGGAAAAGCGCATTCGATAGCCCTATTAACGACCTTTCTGAGTAATTTTCTCAGATTTGACCTAACGTCAACGGTTTTGCCTGCGGGGGGCAAAAACTGCAAAAATAGCCGATTTTTTCGGAAACAGTTTTTCTGCAATAACTTTTGACCCAAGCCTTTTACGAGCTTACTTTTACCAGCATCGTGTTCCTCTCGTCAAGACGCATCGAATGAACTATAACTTGACCTTGAAAGGTCAACTTGAAAATTTGACCTCAGGTCAAGGTCATGACCTGACCGGAAAGGGTCATGTTGCATATGAGTCGATCCGTATCGTCGAGCTGAACACATCTAAGGCGTTTTCATCGCTCTAGCATGCCTCTATCAAAAGTTATTTACGAAAACCTGTTAGATACCATTCGTGACCTAAGATGACCTCAGGGCATAAACAGTGGTCACGGACACCATTTTCATATTCAGTGTGTCTAAACCACTTGTAATTCAGTGTTTGGGAGTGTTTATAATGTCTTTCATCCAAAAGAGGCGCATTTCAATTTTCTCCCATTGACTTATAATGGGGAGGTTGCAAAATTGACCTGACCTTAGGTCATCGATATCAAATTCTGAGATATACATTTTGTACATGCTATTGCTCTTAGCAATCGCTGAAATTTTCAAAGCGATCGGTCACTCGGTGTATCTATGACAGACATTGAAACTTTTTATGAGGTGAGGTCACTTCAAGTGACCTGGTGACCTGACCTTGAATGACCTTGGTCTGAAATTTTCACAACATGTGTAGAATTGATGTATGATAAGGTGTACCAAAAACGACGGCGCTGGAGCGCCGTCGTTTTTTAGATATTCGCGAAAAAGCACAAGGGAGGTGTTCAAACACCCCCCCCCCCCCAGCAGGGCGCGGGTTAAAGGAAATAGTTCACTTTTTAACATGGGTTTTGAACTGGAATAGCAGTTCCGTAGCTTGGGCTGAGACGAGCATAAATCAGGAGCTTTTACAGCCCAACGATCACCCTAGGCAAAGATATTCTATTTCTCGTCCCGAAAAAGGTGTCTTGCGTTGAGGATGTGTGCCTTGCATATATTTCCATCCAGTATGAAAAGAGCATGGGTCCCGAAAATTCTTCAGAAACTAGAGAAATTATCTACGAGAACTCTAGAGAAATTCTCGTACTGATCAATTAGGACATTCAGGGGAACATTATCAGATCGAGCAGATCGCCCAAATGCCGGTGGCTGCGATAATTTCTCTGTTTCTGAAGAATTTTCGGGACCCATGCTCTTTTCTTACTGGATCGCGTGTGCCTTACAGAAACTGAAAAGTTCTTCCTATATCAAAATATAGAAAAAAAATCTTTTGTTATAAAAAGGTTTTATTTTCTTTGCTGATTATTTTGAACATAAAAAATCATAAATCGTTGCAAAAAAAATAATTTCGTGAAAGTGAACTATTTCCTTTAATACGCTTCTATTGATACAGGCCATTCTGCACACAAGTAGGCATTACGCCCCAGTACTGCAACGACATGACGGAGGAAAGCCACATCCTTCATCTACAATGCGACGCATTTGCTCACTCACCGCCTACCGGTTATGTAGAATGTAAAAAGGCACGGGCACAAGTCCGTCCCGACGGAAGCAGTCATGACGATGGCACTGGTCAAACAAAGAGCGATCGTTTGCCGGATCTGGGCGGCAAGGCACGTCACAAACAGCGGTGTAGACCAAAACACGGCAGTGACTCATCGGCAAGAGGGGAATGACGTTGACCATACTGTGGATTATGTAAGGGATGCTTTCCAAAATTAATTTGCATTATTCTCATGAATAAATAATAGTTTGTAAAGGCTCCCAATATTTTCCCTCTCACCTGCAGGCTTCCGTACAAGCGAACCTAGTCTTGAATCGACCACCACAACTAGCTATCACTGCGGCGTCGCACTGTTTACTCTCGCGGAGCGGCTCTGATACCAGCTAGCAGCTCTGGACCAGCTCTGTATACCTACCGATCAACACTCTGGCGCTTCGAGCGAGCGTCAACGTTCAACACCCCGGGGCCGGGGGCGCGGTCGGTAGTGTATGGAGGTAGCTGATTCATTGCAGGCGGAGTGTGGTAGAGTGAACTGGACCAGAGCGTGCGCGTGGCCAATTGGAGCTCGGTGATGAAGGAAAGAGTAGCCATGTCTCGAGAGAAATCTGGAACGCATTTAACATGACCAACAACCAGCATTAGGCAACGGCAGCTAACCTCGATGCTCCAACATCACCGAGGCTTGAGGCTCCGACGAAATTAATTGAGGTTGTATAGATAAGGATCTTTGAAATCATCATGGAGCTGTCTACAACATTCGAGTGTATGGGTGTAGTTCTGCCCCACGATGCTTCATTGAATGACGGGATCGGATATAGAAAGGACATGATATGTTTGTGAGTTTTGTGAGTCGCAGGCTGTAAGGATCTCGCAAACAGATCGCTAAGCATAAGGCATTTACTTGTATGAGCCATTTATTTTTCATTTATTTTCTTGATAGGTTACTTCATTTTTGATGTGTCGGCTTTATCTCATCAAAATAAGTTGAATTTTTAAAACGTCTATGTTGTCATCGCATTTTTGTCAAAGCTGAGTTATTTCCATTTTGAAATCAGTCCCTTCGCATAACTATATACGCCTGACCCCCGCGGGCCCTTCATATAGTGTCTAGTCTCCCATGGGAAACAGGTGAAACTAAGGCACGGTAGCAATGCCCCTCCACTCTTAC